CTTCTTGATCCTCCTCTGCAACAGCCAAAGGCCTCTCTGTCTACCGAGCCTAAGCCAGGTTTCCTTTGAAAGGGCGGAGAAGCAGATGGGGTGGTGCAGAATGTCATAAAACCCATCAGCCCTAGAAATCCACCTTCTACTGGGAAGACAGATACAAGGGGGAAGAGTGGACACCCTGCTGCTTGGGCTCAGACCACTTGCCTCGTGCTGAGTGCTCTAGCAGTCTGAGCTGTGGTTTCCCCCACTCTAGGAAGTGAGGGGCTCACTGCTTTTATTCCATGAATTGCTACAGCAGGCGTATGAAAGTCAGAGGACACATAGTCAGTTCTTGCCTTCCACTGTGGGGTCGGGGGATTGAACCCAGATCGCCAGGCTTGTACGGCAAGCACTTTTACCCCAAGCCTTCTTTCTGGGCTCATCTTAACCACTTTGAAGTGTATAAAAACTCCATACCCAATACTCAGTCATTTCCCACCCTCAAACTCAGCCTGGCAACCACACTCTGTTGCTAGTGTTTCGACTAGCTTTATACACAGAAGCGTGCAGTATCTGCCCCGCTGCATTCAGCTTATTGCACGTAGCCTGATGTCTTCAAGTTCCATTCATGTAGTGCGTCAGTGCCCTTCCCTCTGAAAGGCTGGATAATCTGTTGGACGTGGATTTTATGTTTCCTGACCCATTCATTCATTCATTGATGGGCACTTGGGTTGCGCCCACCTTTTTGACTGTGGTGACTAATGCTGCTGGGGATTTAGTGGGAGGGATTGTGCTGGCGTGCACACTCCAGATCCTTTAAGATGAGTGTTTGCAAGTGTGATTTCTAGGAGCTGCTCTGCTCATTTACTGCTTAAACCTGTAAGGAGCTGTCTGTCATGTTGTGGTTTTCACTATCAGTTGTACACAGGGTTCTAAAGCCACACATCCTGCCCAACACTTAATATCTTTTTATTTTTTATTTATTATTATTATTATTATTTTGTTTTTTCAAGACATGGTTTCTCTGTGTTTTTAATTTTTTAATTTATTTTTCTATTATCAGCTTGGCACAGTACAAATTCTTATCCTAATAGTGAAATGTTTCACTAAAGCTTGCCCAGTGATTGGGTAAAACCAAAACTTACTATAAGCCACAGTCATCCTAGGGTCCCCCCTGCTATGTAGCCTCCCTGGTTCTGGGGGTTGCAGTCTGATTGTCCTTTGCTTTATATCTAGTATCCACTTATGAGTGAGTACATACCATTACTGTCTTTCTGGGTTTGGGTTACCTCACTCAGGATGATATTTTCTAGTTCCATCCATTTGCCTGCAAATTTCATGCTGTCATTGTTTTTCTCTGCTGAGTAGTACTCCATTGTGTATTTGTACCACATTTTCTTAATCCATTCTTCAGTTGATGGGCATCTAGGTTGTTTCCAGGTTCTGGCTATTACAAATAGTGCTGCTATGAACATAACACTTAATATCTTAATAGTGTGTGTTTTGGATAGGACCTGTTCTAACACTGTGTGTTGCTGTGATTTTGATTGGCATTTCTTTAATGGTCCAGAGATGTGGAGCCTATTTCTTTACATCCATTGTCTTTCTAGATAGCTTTTTCGTATGTGTATGTGGTGGGGACAGCTAGGCTGGCTTTGAACTCACGACCCTCCTGCCTCAACCTCCTGAGTGCCACCATGGCCAGCTTCCTTTCCTTCTCTGAGTGACTGGACTTTTAGCTGTCACCACACTGCCGCTCTTGTCCTTGCAGCATGGTGGTGGAGGCCTCCCCCAGAGCTGGGCCTTGGAAAGTCTGCATCTCTGTCCTCACAGCTTTCACTTTGATGGCAATGTTGTGCCTTGGGCCTGTTTTATAGTGGGGGAAACTGAGGTATGGAGAAGTTCCCTGCAGTGGAGGTGTGGGTGGGGTGAGCCAGAGCCCTGGAGATTCTGACTCTGCATCTTTGGAGGAAGAACAAGGCTTGGCTGGAAGTGGCCAAGCTGGACCAGGGTGATGGGGGGCTGGTGGAGGAGTGAGTGTGGGGGGGGCAGTAGTAACGTGGTGGCCTAGGGGAGACTTGGCACTCAGGGATCCTGGTCCCCCCCACCCCCGGCCAGTTAATTATTAATTACAAGGGGGAGTGACCAGTGTGTCAGCTGATCACCAAGATCTTGTCAAAAGCTCCTCTGAGGGAGGTGTGCTAGGGATGTGGGTGTTTCTACCCTCCTTCCTTTCCATGTCCTTCCCTTCCTCCTCTTCTCCCTCCCCTCCTTCTCTTTCCTTCCTTTGGAAATTGTAGTGTGATTGACACACAGAAAAAAGCTGTGTGTGTTTGATGAGTATGGCTTGATGCTGGCCCGGGCCTTCTTCTGCCTCTTGGTCAGCGAGGAAAAGGCAACAGGGTGGTGGGCTCAGCCCAGCAGACGGCTAGGAAACAAATGAGAAGTGAGTGAGCGCCGGGAACGGCAAGATCAGCAAAGGTGCTTTAAGGGGAGCAAAAGGTGCATGGAGGCCCACGAGGCTCTCAGGGGAGAGGACATTTGAATGCGGCTTGAAGATCGTGAGGGAAGAGGTTCGGGACAGAGAGCAGCTGGTGCCAAGGCCCTGGGGTGGGAAAGACCTTTGTAGAGGATTAACCTGGAGGGTTTTGTGGTTGGTCCAGGAATGACAGTGTGGATGAGGTGGTAAAGTTGGGCAAAGACGAGGGCCACGAAGGAGGCCGGAATTTATCCCTGGGAGTGCATAAGGGTCAAGCAGAGGAGGAGTAAAGTGTGAATCTGCTAGGAAAACACAGCCGTTATCATCTCACGTTATAGTTGAGGAAGCTGCAGCCCCAAACACAGCCTGGATGTGTTTCCACAGGTGGCAGATGCTTATGGAGCCCAGGCAAGGTGGTGGAGGGGTCTTATGGAATTTCCCAGGAGGCACAGTCCGTCTCTTGTCTCTCTCTCCCTACTAGATCCAAGTCTGGGTTCAAATCCTGGTTCTGTCATTTGCTGACTGTGTGATCTCAGGCAGGTAGCTTCACTTCTCTGTGCCTTAGTTTTCCCATCTGTAGAATGGACACAGTAGCAGTATCTACCTCACAGATAGGTATAAGAATGGAATAAGTTTACATAATTTGGGCTAGGCATGGCAGTGCATCAATGTAATCCCTGAAGGATGGCTGAGGCAGGAGGATAGAGAGTTCCAGACTGATCTGGACTATCCTGCAAGACCCTGTTTAAAACAAACACCCGTCCTCCTCCTCCTCCTCCTCCTCCTCCTCCTCCTCCTCCTCCTCCTCCTCCTCCTCCTCCTCCTCCTCCTCCTCCTCCTCCACCACCACCACCACCACCAAAAAGCGTCAAACAGTGTCTGCTGCCAAAGAAATATGCAGGAATGACCAGGGCTTCTCCTTGACAAGTGGTCTGTCTTTGTAGTTTCCACTGTTAGTGCCCAAGGCCAGCTGTAAGCCTGTTACTTTGTTATCACAGCCAGGCCAGGCAGTGAGCTGGCAGGCCACAGTGGGCGACTTGTCCCCCCGTCTTGTAATATTCAGGGCTAGAGGGGGCTTCAACGTTCAGAGGGAAGGAAAGTGGACAGGAACCATTTCCTGTCTCCTCCTGCCCCCTCCCAGCCCTGGCCCAGCCTCCACCTGGGTACAGGAGTGCTTTGCCAGGGCTGGGGTCTGAGGTCTGGTGGGCATCTCCTTCCCATGGACCTCACAATACCCTGGAGAGTGACAGAAGCCTTGGACTGGCAGAGGGGACAGGTGGAGCCCTCCCAGGGTTTCCCCCTCGGAGGGTTGCAGCCTCCTCTGTGAAATATGGGTTTCAGATGGCCCCCCCTCCTGGTGGTCCTGCTGTTCAAGGGTTAAATGGGCCATGTCACGCCACTCTACTGTGGCTGTCCCTCTTGATCCTTCAAGCTGGCACAAGGCTGTAGCCAGCAACCTCAAGCCTTGAGCGCTCACAATAGGCTCTCTCCCAAGGTCCCACTCTTCTCATTCATGGGACTGAGGCCCAGCCACCCGCTGGCACACAGGAGGAAAGGGTGGCATTAAGGAGTGGTGGGAGGGAAAGTGCCCAGGTTGGACTCCCCCTGTTGATTTTGGGCAAGTGACTCAGCCTGGACTGTCTGGGGTTTCTATTAGTCAACTTGGATGACAATGGAGTTGCCTCATAGGAAGGCTGCCCGGACCGCACTGATGCTCACTGCGCCCCGTTTAATCACGGAAAGATTAAATGTTCAGGAAGAGCACTTTCCCGTGCCTGGCCGTGAACGTCAACTAGAATCCCGCGCAGCTCTGCCTGACGTGCTGCCGGCTGTGCAGGCTCCAGCTCGGAGAAGAGCCCGGCGGGGTGAGCCTTGGGGCGCGGCTCCGGCCAGGTTCCCGCACGCGGCTGTCAGTCAACCATTGCGGTCGCTGCCGGTCCCTTCTTCCCTCTCCTGGAACACTCCGGGCCGGCGGGTTCGCCTGCCAGGCCCCGGAAGTTGCGCAAACGCCGGCTACCTGAGCCAGGTGGGCGGGAGGCGCGCAGGCTGCTGGCAGGAGGCGGCTTGCGCGGCCAGGTATGTTGCGGCGCTGGGCAGCGGGGAGCGCAGCAGGGGTTATGCCTTCAGTCCCCGCGTTCGACACAGACGTGGGCCACCTTCTGCTCAGAGAGGGACAGCAGAGCATGCGGGGCACACAGCTTTGGCTCGCTTCAAGGCTTGCCGCCCGAATCTGCAGGATCTCCTCCAAATGAGGAAGAGCCGAAACCAAACTGGGGCCTTGCTGGCGTCCTGATCCATTCTTTGGGAGCCTGAAGGGAGGGACGAAGTTGGGCTATGGCCCTGGAATAATGACCAGAAAGGCTCAAGGTTGGTGCATTTAGGGCCGTTTGCGGCAGCATTTGAAAGCCCATGGTGAGAAGAGTCCCCAGAGGAGACGTTAAATCCCACTTGGCGACCCGGACCTAGGCTTCCTCTTGGAGGGGCCCCTGTGACGTGAGTTGGTGCCGGTCTGCTGGCTCATTGTGATCAGCCCGTACCAGATGTCCCCTTTGTCCCTGCTGGGGCCTAGATTAGCCCTTTTGGATCGGGCTTAGAGACCCTCGGAGGGGGCGGGTCTGCTCCCTCCACAGTCAGAGCCTCAGTATATGACAAGCCTGGTTTATGGAGCGCTGCCCATTTCCCAGGTGCTGCGAACCCGTTTGATCTTTCCAGCGGTGACCTGAAGGCGCAGGGAGGTGTATTTTTAACTGCCTTTAGCAGATAAGGGAAGCAGTCTGTTAAGAGCCGCCTCTTGTGCAAGGTGTATGGCAGCGGCTGGTGGGAGAGTGGGGACCCGGGTGGTTCCCAGGCCAGGCTTGGGAACACGCATCTGTCCCATCTTTATCTAGGCTTAGGTGGTGGGTATAGAAGCAAGGTGGTTGGTGGTGGTGGGCGGGGGCGGGGGAGAGGAGGGAGCTTCTGCCCTGGCCCTGCTCCTCTGACCTCCTTCCTCTTTCCTAGGTAATGTTTGGGAGGGAACTGCCTCAGCCACCACCAACGGGTTGGACTGGTTTGGGTGGCAGAGCAGATGTGGGGGTGAGGGAGGTGGGGCAGAGTCTGGCTTCCTAGACAAGGCTCTGTAGCAGCTCTGCTGGCCAGACCTTCCCTGCCCAAGGTCACCTGGGGGGGGGGGTCTCCTTGCATGGAACCAGCCTTCCTTTCCTGCCTACCTGGCCTTTGAGCTTTGGGAGCAGCCCTCTCCCCAGCCCCCACACCACCGATGTGCTCACGTTTCCATGGGGACTGGGGAAGGCACACGGAGGTGCAGATATACCTGCAGACATGCTATGCTTGTCCAGTACACGCAGTCTTTAGAAATGGTGATGGAATTTGCTCACAGTTAAAAATCTAGAGAGCACCTGCCCCTCTGGATTGCCAGGCCTGGGAACACTACGCCCCTTCCTTACCTTGGACCCACCTGCCTGCAGTGGAGCGGGGGGGCCTCTAGTTCACTGGTGTGCTGGTTCTCAGCTGACCCCCTAGGCATTTCAGTTCAGGACACACTTGTGGAATATCTAGCATGTATTGAGAGCCACGACATGAAGCCGAAACACAGTAAAAAAAGCAGCCGAAATTTCTGCCCTCGTGGAGCTGTTATTTTAGGGAGTAGGGGACAGCAAAGAATGAAAGACCTATACCTACAGTAAGTTATATGGCACCCATGAAAATAATGAGAAAAGAAGCAGTGTGTGTGTGTGTGTGTGTGTGTGTGTGTGAAGTGGTGCAGGGCAAATGTGCTCAAATTGCCTTTTAAATCTCCTCTGGGATCCAGGGAAGCCCCTTCTCAGAGTCTCAGTTTTCCCCGCTACGAAATGGTGACAGTGGCCTCCAGGCTGTGGGAGGCGGTAGAAGAGTATGTGGCTTTGGGTGTCTGGCTGGCGGTGGGGAATCCCTGTCCTGGGACATCTGGATGTCCCGGTGAGGCTTTCACGGTGTTTGGGCATGCTCTGTGCCAGTGCTGTCTGTTAGGAGTCACCTGCCACCTGCAGCCATGGAGCACTTGACGCATGGCTGCTGTGATCAGGAGCTAGTGGTGCTGGGTGACCTGACATGCCAGTGTCAGCAGCCCCCAGGCTAAGCCCCCTCCTCCTCTTTCCAGACAAGAAGGTTTGACGTTGCTGCATATCTGAGGGGCTTGAGTGGTGGGGGAGAGCTGTGGCACTTTCCGATGCCTGCGATGATCTGACATCTGACTGTTGGACAGCCATGGGGACACTGGAGCACCCAGGCATGGTCCTTACAGCCCAGGAGCACTGTCATGGTGGTTGGTCAGCGTCATAGCTCTGGGGAGGGCTGTGACCTTGACAGTTCCTAGCAATAAGCATAGCTTGGGGCTGGTGCTTACTCCTGTCTGCGTGCCTTGATCTCTGTGGGCTTGGCCTTGGAGCCATATCCTGGAAGCTACCCTAGTCTGGGCTCCACTAGGGTGGAGGTGTGGGGTTTCTTTCTGCTCCTCCCCTGCAGCCTCTGCTTTTGTGCCCTTTGTGGGCCTGGCATGTCCAGGCAGGTGGTTGGCACTGTGCAGCTTCCTGCCTGGGCTGGTTGTGGGATGCTGGTGGTATCTGGCTCCTCTGGGCAGTTCAGGTGGGATGTGGATGGCGGTCCTTCAATCCCAACTAACCCATCGCTAGTATCCCTATCTTGAGAGCAAGCGAAGGCTTAAGCAAGTTCATTGCCTCCCTGAGCTTCAGTTTCCCCAACCTTAAATGGAGCTGTTGAGAGGACCCTGGGGCTGAGCCTGGAGCCTGGAGCCTGCTTTGCTGTCTTTAAAGTGGACCTGACTTCTCAACCTCTTTCCTCCCTCCCTCAGCTGGGCGGGTCCCCGCCCATTATTGGAGGGAAAGGGTGTGGGTGGGGTCACAGGCCTTCGCGTAGTACATTCTGTCTGATGATTGGCTCTTCGCGAGAAAGGGGCGTGTCCTTTACCTTATAATAGCGCAGGCTTCGCGACCAGGCGAGCCTTTGTCTAAACGTGCTCAGCCCGTCTTTTTTTCCTTGCTTGCAGCCGAGCCCGGCTTCCAGCTGCCAACTTTGTGCCTTTATCTGTCTCCTCGCCTCTGCCCTCGGGGTATGTAACCGCCATGCCTGTGGACACGCTGAGCCCTGCAGCGCCCGCCGCCCCTGTCCTCCCTTTTCGCCTGCGAACCAAGGTCCCCAGCTACCTGCTACCAAGGCCAGCGGATGGGGGAGCCCGGAAGCTGAGTGCTGTGGAACGCCTGGAGGCTGACAAGGCCAAGTACGTCAAGAGTCTCCATGTGGCCAACACCCGCCAGGAGCCTGTGCAGCCTCCGCTAGCCCGGCAGCCCCTCTTCAGCCCTGGTTCTCGCGGGCCAGTGCTCACACCCAGCCGCCGAGCCCTGCCCTGTCCTGGCCGCCGGCCCCAACTGGACCTCGACATCCTTAGCAGTCTCATCAACCTGTGTGACAGTCCTGTGTCCTCAGCTGAGGCCAGCCGAACGCCTGGACGGGCAGAAGGATCTACCCACAAGGTCCCACCAGCCACCCCTCCTCGTCCTCCACCTAGTACGGTTGCCGTGCGCCGAGTGGATGTTCGTCCACTGCCTGCTTCACCTGCTCGGCCCTGTCCATCGCCTGGTACCACTGCCACCTCCAGCCCCGGCCGGCCCCCTGGTCTGCAACGCTCCAAGTCGGACCTGAGCGAGCGCTTTTCCAGGGCAGCAGCCGACCTCGAGCGCTTTTTTAACTTCTGTGGCCTGGATCCAGAGGAAGCGCGAGGATTGGGGGTGGCCCACCTAGCAAGGGCCAGCTCGGACATCGTATCTCTAGCCGGGCCAAGTGCTGGACCCTGCAGCTCTGAAGGCGGCTGCTCGCACCGCAGCTCTGCTACCGTGGAGGAGCGAGTCCTGGAGCGTGTCCCCTACGGGGTGTCTGTGATTGAGCGCAATGCCCGTGTGATCAAGTGGCTGTATGGGTTGCGGCAGGCACGTGACCCTCCGGCTACCGAGGGCTAGGTCTCCTGGACTCGGCCTTCCCGGAAGGACATTGTCAAAGAGGCACCTTGTCCTTTCTTGTATCCATTGGCTGCCTTCCGGCAGACCAGACGCAGCTCCCTTGGGTGAACTTGGTGTAGAGGCCAAGACTTAGTCCTAGACCAGCATCCTCTGGCAAGCAAGGACTGACCTACAGAGGCTTGCTGTAGCCCTTGGCCTCCCCCACCCCTAACAAGGTTTGTGACACAGTGTGCTTCTGCCTGGTTCCTCTGGTGAGGCTGGATTTGGGGTGCTTGCCCTCCACTGAGTTGGGAGCCGAGTGCTTGGCCAAGCCGACTGTCACCCCGAAGCTCCATTTCCTCCTTCCTTCTCTGTCCTCTGCTGACTTCCTCTTCCTTACCGAATGGGCCCTGGCTTCCTGGGAACTCACTCTGGGGAGGAGGCTGAGAGGATGGGATCTGTCCACTGCTCTTCCTGGTCTTTGGCAGTTGGCCTGGGTGGGTGAACTATAGAAGGGACTGGTTAGGAGCCTGCCGCTCAGACTTCTCTTTGGTTAATAAACACAAATGTTTGTTTCTCAAGGTCTGAGGCTTCAGACTCTTCTCTGTTCACAGTGGAAGGAGTGTGAGAGGTCTTGGGACAGGGCCTTCAAAATGTAATGATTGTTGCCCCCAAGATCTGGTACGCAGGAGGTCAGCGGCTCACCTCTGTCAGCGTAGGAAGGCCTCACCTGAGACTTACCCTGCAGACGCCTCCACAGGTGACTCCACAGGAGATGGCCAGTGCGCAGGACCAGAGCTGAGAGGGGGCTCTTCCCCTGAAAGGAAGGAGCCTTCAAGGAAAAGGCTGGCAGAAGGAAGGCATGGAGCCCCTCACCCTGAGGGCTTCCAGCACCACCCCCCCCCAGCCCTGCTCAGTTCCCGAGGGAAGGAGGTCCAGCAAGAGAAAGCTCTGACTGGAGGTCACCAGGACACAGTGGGGGACTGGGAGCTTGAGTTTTTGGAGGGAGAGGGACTTGGGGAGGACAGCCCAGAGTGGTGGCCTTACCTGTGACTCTGGGTGGCCCTGGACAGGCCAGTCTTACTTCTGGACCTCAGCGGAGAGCTAAGTGGTACAGGTCTTCGGTTGGAACCTTGTATTCTGGGACTTTTGAACTGCTCTATATCCCAGGGCCTGGGCCCTGCAGAGCGGATAACCGTGGGGCCATGGCCGAACATCTGTCCAGTCTCCCAGGTTAGTCTTCCCCATGTGACAGAGCAGCAGGACTCCCTGGGTGCACAAAGGGTGACCTGGGGGATGGCCGGACTGTCTCCCACGGGGAGGGGAACTGGGTGGTGTTTCCCCCCTGCAGACTGCCTTGGCTCCTGTCTTTAGAAACAGGAAACATCAGGGGAGGCCTGGAGACAGGGTCGATGCTGGTTTTATTTTAAGCATAAAGAGATTTCCGTTGGGCTGTTGACAAACATCTGGGTCAGCACAGCTGTCTGTTTACCACCAACCTTCAAAGCCCCGGGTGGCTTAGAGAAAGAAGGGGAAACTGAGGACGGGTTCTGCCCACTGGGGATACAGATGGAGATGGGCACAGGAGGGCAGTCACCTTCCACCGGTGAATTTTCATCGGCCCCATGCTGAAAAAGGAATGGGACCGGGCAGAGATCCAAGCCAGCCTTGCACCGTGATGCCTCTCAAGATGCTAAAAACCACCCTGCCCCTCTGGGTACCCTACTGGCCTTGGGTCAGTGTCTCTCTCTGGCTGTGATCCTCCATGCCCCAGGAGGGTAGGCGAGCTGGCTGCACTTTGCATGTGAAGAAATTAGGCTCTGGCCAGGTGGTGGTGCACACCTTTAATCCCAGCACTCGGGAGGCAGAGGCAGGTGGATCTCTGTGAGTCTGAGGCCAGCCTGGTCTACAGAGCTATTTCCAGGACAACCAAGAGTGTACAAAGAAACCTTGTCTTGAAAAACAAAACAAAACAAAACAAAACAAAACAAAAAAGAAAATAAATAAATAAATTAGGGTTCTAATTTTCTTATTCCAGGAAAAGTGGGTGAATTCTGTTTCTGGAGGAGGGGTTAGTGCTGGCCACACCTCTCATTGGATACTCAAGGTGATGCTTGGAGAGGCAGGTGTGTGGTCTTAGGGCAGAAAGTGGAAGAGGGAGTGGTGGGGATTTGTGGGCCACCACAGGGCAGGACTGTAATACAGCCTGGGCCACAGTCTGTTCTTCCAGACCCTCCACAGCCAGCATCACCCTCGCCCCGCTCCCTCGGCGTGTACCCAAGCCCTCTTCCTCACAAGTTTTATGGTCAAGCATCTACTGGGTACCCATATCAGACCCGATCCCCATCCCGGTGTGTGGGGAGAACAGGTAATCTGGTGGAATCTAGAGCTGTTGTGCCCAGGAACCTCAGCTCTGGAGGGCGTTTCTGGAAGTGGTAATGGGGCTGGACCAGGCTCGATTTCTCCTGCAGGTGCTGCCTGATCTTGGGAGAGCGCCCGCCCAGTCTTCTAAGAGTCTGTGGAAGCAGCAGGCTGTGAGGGTCCCCTCTTGCCGGCAGCCATAGTGTCTGGGGCACCTGCTCCTCCATTGTTCTGCCTCTGTTGTCATGTGAGAATCAGGAGTCAGCCCAAGTGCTGCTGTTGTTCAGCCCTACAGAGGCCCAGCAGCTGCTGCCCTGGCTGCTGGGGCTCCCAGCCAGTCTGGCCCCAGCTGCTGGGTGCCTAATTAGGCAGAGATGAGACCTCCTTTCTGTTCCTCCCCATTAGCTGACCATACACATGCCAGCTTGGGAGAATGCAATTTGGTGATCCATTTCAGTGCTGGAGATGTAAAAGGCCCCTGGGAAAAGCCCCATAGACCACCGGCCTCAGTTTACCCTTCGGCAGAGAATGGAATACTGCTGCCTGTAGGGGGCTGTCTCTGGTGGAAATGGTTATTGCTGCTAGCAAGGCATCGCAGGAGATTCAGGACAGACCTCCATCTGGCCTGGCATCTTGGGTGCAGGGGAGCACGGAGCAGTGAGGAGTCAGGACAGTGGGGACACAGGCTGGAACACAGTGACAGATACCCCCTCATATACAGAAGGTACTCGGTCTCTCCAGGCATGGGCAGAGCACCTCTGCTAGCTTGGCATTTTGTTTTGTTCTCTTAGTTTTGTCTTTTTTGGATTTATTTTATTTTGTAAATATGAACGTTTTGCTTGCATGTATGTATGCGCACTACATGGGTACCTGGTGCCTGGGGTGGGGTGGGGTCAGAAGAGGGTACTGGACCCTTTCGAAATGCAATTATTAGATGGTTGTGTGTCACCATGCTAGGAATTGAACCCAGGGCCTCTGCAAGAGCAACAAGTACTCTAAACTGTGGAGCCAGCTCTCCAGGCCCCCAGCTAGGTTTTGTGACACTATTATATATTTCAAGTAACACACTCAGTTGCCCAGTTCCCCCAGCTTGTTATTAGAAAACCTTGAAATATGAAGGAGTTAAACAGTGAACACTTACCCACCTCCAAATGCACTTTAATGTTCCACTGCAGCTGTTTTGCCTGACGTCCATCTGTCCACCCATCCACCTATCCCTTAAATCAACACTTCTTACAACGCTTTTCAAAGTAAAGTGTGAATCTCAGGGTATGGTATATTATTGTATGTGATGCGTGAGTGCGTGTGTCTGTACAGGGGCTCTTGCCTGTGCATGTACACATGGAGGCCAGAGGTTCACATCTGTAGCCGGCCTCTGTTGTTCTCCACCTTTTTTTTTTTTTTTTTTTTTTTTTTGAGACAGGGTTTCTCACCGAACCTGGAATTCCCCATGTGAGGGGTGCTGGCTAGTCAGCAAGGCCTGGAGACTCACCTGTGTGTCCCTGCCATACTGGGGCTCCAGATATTCACTACCACACCCAGTGTGTGCCCCTGCCATGCTGAGGATCCGAACCCAGGTCCTTACGCTTGTACAGCAAACACTTCACTCACTGAACCATTTCCTCAGCCCCTATGTATTTTTTTTTTTTAATAACAATGAAACACACAGCTCTTAAAAGGCTTCACTTTCTGAGTTTAGCCAAGTGTGTACTGTGCCCCAAACCCCAACACCATCACTGTGAGCTGTATCCCTCCCCTCCCAAGTCCTGCTTGCACCAGCAGACTCTCTTTGCATATATATGGGCTAAACAGCCACAATGAAAACATCTTCCCCTCCCAGCCTGATACTCCAAAGTAACCACATTCAGGTCTTTCAGTGATTTATCCCCCCCCCCCCCGCCCCGCTGGTACCTACCTCTATTTTTTAAGGAGCTTTCCCCCCTTGCTACTGGTTGATTTGGGGCAAATATCAATTGGCTTTGTCGTCTGGGGTCTTTGTAGTGAGCCCTAGCAGGGCTCAGCCCTTCCCCTCACTGGCCATGTGGTCAGTTTTCTCATTTGTCAGCAGTCACGATCTTCCAGGTGATTGAGTTGTTGGGAGGACCTACACTCATGTGCTTAGCATGATGCACAAGTCTGGCCGCTGTCCATGCGTCCTTTTGATTGATATCAAGGAAGTTAGCTTTTTATTCACTGACTTCTCTAACTTTGTGCACCGCAACTTTTCATTAAGTGATTATACGATGTTTAGGTCACAGCTCTACAAATACTGTCTCACATCGCAAATCTCCTTTGCATGTCATGCTGTTGTTTTTCCACGAGTTGCTGTTTGCGTTGCTCTTCCTGTTTGCCTGGTGCCTCCTAACCCGGCCACAGTCCCCTCAGTTTCCCCAGAGTTGTAAGACAGCAGCCCAGTTATTGGTTTCGGTTTCCTTTCTGGAACTCTTCAAATGCTTTTGAACAAGCCCTCCGCCTGTCCTTTAAACTGGAAAAAGAGAATCTGTAGAACAATGTAAGAAAAGCATTCGTAAGAGCCCACAAGTGGGGGCTGGAGAGTTGGCTCAGAGGTTAAGAGCACTGGCTGCTCTTCTAGAGGACCTGAGTTCAATTCCCAGTACCACATGGTGGTTCACAATCATCTATAATAAGACTTGGTGCAGGCATACACGCAGCCAGAACACTGTATACATAATAATTTTTTTTTAAAAAAAGAGCCCACAAGTCCTAGGAATCCAGATATATTCATATGTAAAAGGGGGATCATCTAGTCACTCTGCAGCCAGCCCTTGACTGCAGGATTTGGGGCTAGGTTTTGGGTGTTACATGTATAGATATGGTAATGATCTCCCTGTCCTTTGGCGGCCTCAGAGAGGGGTATGGGATAGAGAGGAGGCTGTAATGGCAAGTGAGCAGGAGGAGGTGGGGAACGGGTTCAGAGGAAGTACCCTGAGAAGAGGCAGGTCAGATGGGTAGGGGTATACTGAGAATTTGTTTCCATCCTGGAACAGGGAAGCCTGAGATGTTTGAGCAAAGATGTGAAGATTAGGTAAGAGTTAACCAGGATGAAGGGTGGAAACAGAAAAGGATTCTAGATGCCATGTGCAAGGCCCCTGTGGTTGAAGTCTGGAGAAAAGGTGGGTTTGGACCTGGAGCACCAGGCCAGGTTATGAGGAGCTGTGGCAGCCTTTGAATAATGTGAGAGTCTGTCCTGCCAGACAGC